AATGAGGTCGTCGTTCGAGTCGTTCTCCAAAATACTGGGGCGAACTCGAGCAATATTCTTTGACACTGAGCGATAACGTATTTAATTGTTATAAACTTAACACCATCACGCTGAGAGAAGTCGTTATCGGAATTTGCAAATAATTCTGACCTTGCTTTCCGATCGCCGTAAAATCCACGCTGACGTGACTCGGGGACATTTGAAAGCATGTCTCTCTCTTTACATGTAATTGACTTGACAAGACAAAATCTACAATGTGAACTACTACCACTTCAATTATGTATCAACGAAGCGAAGTAATCGCGGCTCAATAATACGACTAATCAATAACTCTGTAACAATACCGGAAAACAATAATTACTGAGATACCACAGTATCACAGGCTAAGGAGTTTGCTCATTCAAGTTGGGGCACAACTTGCCCAATATGTACAGTGAATCACCCCGAGCGATCGATGTACCATGAACGGATTACGCTGGCCATAAAACGGTACATGTAAACGCAATTTAATTTCCGCGATACCACAGAGTCAAGCTCACAACATGTATTTGTTGGCAAGATGTCATCATTATACGACCCTTGAGCAAGGTATATAATATACAGATCGAATAATCCGTGAAAAGCCACGTTTTTTTGGGGGGGATTAGATTTAATCTTTTCGGAAACTGTATCCAAGATCTCCGGAGTCATCGTATTATATTATACAAGGATTTGTCGCTCCATTTAATATTCGTTCTGTAATATAATGCAAATAAGGCAAACGCGCATGCTTCTTAAATTACATGTACGCGATACATATAGTAGGTCTTTTACGCTATCCGGTTTACTGTAAACTTTTTTAGGATAGATCATAATACAGCCTACATCAACATGGAATATCAATGTAATTCTTGTTAAATCTGTGTACGACGTGTCAAATACAAACGATGAATAATAGTATACACTCATGACGGCCATGTTTACAAGACTGCAATGAGCGCGGCTACTAGCACGTTTCTTCATTCCGTGTGCAATAAAGAGAGAATGAAAACTCATCATTATCAATCGAGTTGTTTGAATATAATTCAGACACGTGCAAACATTGATGTAATGTCTTATTATTGTTATATTAAAATACAAAATTATTCTAGAAATATAGACATCGTGATAGCAGACCTTGTTTGAGGTTTGTCGAATCCCACGCGATGTTTTGACGCTACCAGCACGCTATGACCTTAGCTCGTCCTGTGTTACGTTCGATTTCGCACATGACCTGCGTGACCTCGCACTAAACAGAACACGGTCTATTGGTCGTCGAATATCCTAACCACTGACTCTCATGTCCCAAACCTCGGTCGTAATTATTTTACATACATACTAGTAACAATAACGATGGCCATGACAATGTAAATTTGATTCGAGTTATTATTTTTTTCATTCTCGCGGTATCCCGGCAACGGCCAGCATCAAAGGTCAAGTTCGGATTTTGTGAACAGGAAATATGTCGCCCAAAGCATCCGGATTTACCTGGCCTTCAAATAATACACATTGAACAACATAAATATTAGATAAAAAATGAAACCCGAAGAGAGTAGAAATATGAAACGTTTCTGGCTGTCTTGATGGTCAATGTGACGTCACGATGCCACTCATTCGTCGTACGCATTTTAAATTATTTTAAAAATTATGAAACATGTATGAAATATATGATGTAGTCGCAATATGAGTCGAGATGATGACACGCTGATAGGCGAGTGTCTCCAATCGTTGGTGTCGTCTGCACTGAACTGCCGTGCCCACACGCTGCTGGCGAATAAAGTGTCGTGTTGATCGATTTTTGAAGGTATACTCACGTCCTTTGGTGCTGCTGGACGTACAACCCATCGCCGTGGAACAGCTCCCAAGCAAACGGGCGGCAAACAGCTAAGATGTTCAAGCACGGAACGATATCAACTCCGGAGAGTCCTGTTGTACACAGTGACATGTGTGTTTGGCTACTAAACCAACGCACTGCGCAGGTCGGGAACATCTTCAGTTCATTTCACGACGTAGGGAATGACGTCACAGTGTTTTGCGTTGTGATACGTCATCTCATCACTAGATGTGTAAATATTTTCGTGTAATATATTTACTCAGTAAATGTGTGCATGTAATCATGACAACACCCACTGGCAGATATGACGTATGGTTCGTTTCAAACACGTGACAGTTTAGAGAACAGGGCCGAGTAAATCGACGTACCCACATTGTACTTCATCAGACGATTGTAACTGAAGATTAACCGGAAGATGTGGAAATTGAAAGACCCATTACATAGAATTGTAATCGAATAGAATATAAAATAAGCTCACATATTACTGTTTTGAGTGAAATCACAATTGCACGAGTCTTTCAAGTAAATTGGTAATATTAATGTTAACGTAAATGTCTTCGTTGAGTCTGCGTCACACATTAATCAGCGTAGTGGTTTTAGAGTGAACGAATCTACTGGACTCAATAAACGACGCCCTCACAGGTAAACGCACTCGCACATCACACAAAATTATTGGAAGAACAACATATTCAGGAAATGTTATCATTTCACCATTACAGCGGCACATGTTTAAAAAACATTTCAATCCCAGTAAAATAAGAATTAACAGCTTATTCTGGCGGTTAAATAATCCACTCTTTTAGCTTAAATTGCCGGCGGGGTGGGTGCAATACAGTCCTCAATTCTTCATTATATTATCTGATCGTCCCCATCATTTTTTCATCACTTGAAAACAAAAAAAATGTTAAATGGTCTTCGACCTGTGGTTGAACAAATAGATAGACGCATTGTCGCGCGCAGATACATTCCAGTACAATTGATTGTTAATGAAGAAAATACATTGAAGAGATTGTATAAAGGCGATCATAATTACATATTCCTTTGGGAATACGGTCGATCATCTTCGATTTCAATTCCATTTGACGTACAAATATCATTAATAGTTTAAATTGGTGTAGTGGTGGGTGTTACGGACGACGGCACACAGACAATATGGAAACGAAAAGCGACCATGAAAGCGACACATGGAAAACACACAAGTTACAGCCATTCTTAAATAAGTACATGCCAACTGCGGGGTCAGTCAGTCTGGCCAGTCGCCAGGTTGAAATTACGAATTTATGGACAACACATTTCTTTACTCAGTCGTGATGTGGCGCTCATGTGATGAAATGAGTGAAAGAAATATTGTTAACCGCGTTTCGTAGTATAGCGGGTAACTATTGTCTGTTCGGGATGACAAACAGACGGGTATGGTATGTGGGGTCACATGACTAGGGGTATGTAAAGGCAAGACAGGCTGTGGAATGCCACTCTAGGCCAGTCACGCCACTGTGCAGTTTCTTCAGTTTGTTTTTTTGTAAATTTATTTATTTATTTAGTTATTCATTTTTTCATTTGTTCATTTGTTTATTGATTTTTTGTAGCACACTGGGTGACGCCCGCCACTTTCCCATGGGCACGCTCGACAGTGCGACGGGTACAGGTTTCCAGGGATTTTTTATCCAATTTACTATAGGAAAGGGTTTTTTATTCCTGGTTTTTCCTGGGCGGTCGGCGTGCCAGTAACGGGGGTGCGATTTTTTCAGTTATGTTTAATGTGTTCTTTGATCTGTTCAATGTAAGTGGCATTTACCAAGCACAACATTCAATGGTGTTAAGCAGCCAATGTCGACCTTAAGTTTTCGAATGCTAATTCAAGTTATATTTTATTTTTCCAATTAGTTTTTTGAATTGAATTGAATTGTTTGTTTTTGTATTTTCAATCACTTCACTTGAGCGCTACAAAGCCATGTAACAGCAGCCGTTTTTTTAGTCGGCTTATCAGAGTATTGGTTTAAATAAACGGTTTCGCCGGACTGACTGCACATACGTGGCCACACCTGGCATGACCTTACCTTATGTAAGTGTGTTGTGTATTAGTATTATCGGATGTGGTGAGTCTAGTAAAAACATGACATTCAAATAATGCTAGCGTTTTTATAACATCTCGTCCGTGGCCCAGCCTCACTAGGTAGTCACATTGGTCGACAATGTGTTCACGTCATAGTCATTGCTACGTCACAAAGGCCTTTCGTCGCTAGAGGGCGCGACATTTAGAAAAGGTGCATTTCGGAAAATAACTGTTTTGTGGTGAAATTATGTTCATTGAACAAAAATGTGCAAGAAAGTTATTAAGTGTTTGAGCCTATACAGGTGATGTCGGTGACATCAACTTGACTTCGTCGTGTAACGTGTTGTGTCGTCACAGGAAGCGCTGTCCCAACACAGACCTGTGTCATACTAGTATGACGTCTTACTAGCCGATTTTGGCTAAAAAAAGCGCTCCGCCGCCTCTTTACACTAGTGTTTATACACGGAACTTGATAATCTTTTTTTCAATTTAAGTTGCTTTATACCTCGTATTGTAGTGAAATATTGTTTAGTGAGTGAAATATTAATGTCATAAATAATTCAATCTTTGAAACAACAAAAACTAACACATAATAATGATAATCAAATTTGTGTTCGAAAGTACTTGCGTAATTTCCGGTTTCAACTAGTTCGAAAATAGAACGTCCTTGAACGCGATAAAATCACGCGTAGAACTCCTTCCGAACCAGACACTAGCAGCGTAAACTTATTGCAAATTTGCACAATTTGTGCCCAGTTTGTTCTTACAAGCACCGTCCCTCTGAGGGACGGTGTTACAAGTTTTCTAAGTCTGGTTTATCATTATTTAGTAAACAGGTCCCTGAAACGATTTAATATATCCGTAAAATACGTGCCAATCGACGATTATCTTCCAAACGTTCGAAATTTCGAATAAACTCCCGGCACACTTAGCGCCAATCTCCTTCCCAGAGGCCTTTGCGCTTTATGATAAGTAACGCGTACGTTGTGTCGTCACCGGAAGCGCTGTCCCAGCACAAACATGTGTCATATGACGTCTTACTCGCCGATTTTGGCTAAAATTCCGCTCCGCCGCCTCTTTACAACAGTGTTTATACGCGGAACTTGATATTGCTTTTTACAATTTGGGTTGCCTTTGAATCACATATTTTAGTGAAATAATGTTTATAGAGTGAAATATTATTGTCATACATAATTCAATCTTTGAAACAACAGAAACTAACACATAATAACGATAATCAAATTTGTGTTTAAAGTTCGAAAGTAGTTGCGTTATTTCCGGTTTCAACTAGTTCGAAAATAGAACGTCCTTGAGCGCAATAAAATCACGCGTAGAACTCCATCCGAACTAGACTCTAGCAGCGTAAACTTATTACAATTTGCGCAATTTGGGCCCAGTTTGTTCTTACAAGTTTTCTAAGTTTCATTTATCATTATTTAGTAAACATGTCTCTGAAACGATTTAATATATCCGTAAAATACGTGGCAACCGACGATTGACTTCGAAACGTTCGAAATTTCGAACAAACTCCCGGCACACCTAGCGCGATATGCGTCAGATCGGTGTAGAAGACGCCGACCTGCAGCGTCAATGGTAACGCGTATCGAACTGTGCGGAGTTCGACCTAGCGTGATATACGTCAGAAGATAATATTTGGTAATCGTAGTCCTAAATAACTATTAAAAATAGCTAGACGTTTCGAGCAATGGCTCTTTATCGATAGCATAGAAGAAAGTGAAAGTGATATACGTCAGATCGGTGTAGAAGACGCCGACCTGCAGCGTCAATGCGTGTAACGATTACGGCGGTTGGCAGGGGGGATTGGCACAAGAGGGCGCCATCCGATCTGAATGGAACGTTTCGACGTCAGTCGTCCGTAGCCCATCGTCAAAGCAACAACGTCCCGTTTACAAACAGATGAAATAATTTCAGCAATTTCTTTACAGAAAAATCCTCAACAAAACTTAGAAACATTTCATAGACAAATACAGGCTCCAAAATTATGTCTATTGCAAAACAGTTCAACCGACAACCAGTTTGACGCCACAATTTCTTGCTGGAGCCCGAGTTCCACGCGTGATGTTATTGCGTTCAAAACTGTTCCATTTCAAACTGCGCATGCACACACACTGTGGTTTCTCGAAATGCATACTAATTAGGTAACTTGTCACTGCTAAAAGTCACCAAAAACAATTTGAGCAATTTTGAGCAATAGTACGAGAGTGAAATTTAAACGTGCCTCTGCATTCTCCATGAATATCGCAACTTGCTATGATCATGGTAAAGAGAAAACCTGTGCTTACGTTCAACAGTTAGCTGGAGTCCGATCGAAAACGTGTCTCAAAAAATACTTTTACATAATTTTTCCGATTATTTTTTCAGCTGGTAACGATAGAATCAGTCAATTTAGAACTAACATGTATGCTATCGGAAAGCATTTTAGCACAATTTTACTGAAAAGACGAGTTTTTCATTGCTCTTGAATATTAATTTATGCAAATGAGACGATTATTTCAACCAATCGTGTCATGCAACTCCCCCCCCCCCCCTGGCGGTTGGCTTGCTTTGAACGTTATATAACGACTGGTGGTCGCTGAGGGCGTGCGGTGTTAACATCGGTGATTACGTCGCTCTGTATTTGTTTGTGTTTTCTTGCCTGTTGTGGTTATTGTGCGAGTTATTTAGAATGAGGAACTTCGATGGAAAACGATATACGGGTACAGGTTCGTCTTGGGACTGTTTTGGTTCAGAATTCGGTTGTTTGTGGAATGAGAGAAAAATCGCTCTGCCCGAAGTGTTTTGCAAAATGATCCAAGATGGCCGACGCCTACTGAAGAACACGTGTTAGTGGATAGTAGCGCTGATAACTTTGTTGCTAATAACCTGTTACCTCAGCAACCTACATCTATAATATTAGTAGACAAGAGAAATGAAGAATTCGACAGCAGTTTAACACAACAACCTTTAAAAAAACAAATAAACAAAGGAACAAGAAAAAAAAAAAACATGAAATATAACATAATTGTAAGAAAATTATTGGCTGGTATTAAAATAATTATTATAAACAACTCATTTATTCCAAATTAATATATATTAAGATGTGTCATCACTAATGTACGACTCATTCAGATTAAAACAAGCTGTTTGATCTCATAGGGTAGAATCGTTGTCAACGCGAAGGTCAACGTGACACTCAGCTACTGCACCGTGACGGATGGTGTACGGTCTGGTTACTTTTGGCGCAGTGTTCACATAACTACTACCGGTAACACGTGAGCGGAGCGAAACGACCACTCGGCGTAGTCGCCAATGACGATTACAGTGAGCGTAAAAGTATTACCACTATGATTGTTTCGTCGATAAGCACTGCGCGATTTTTACAGTAGTGAACTGTGTTTCAATCTGTTTATATGACAAACTAGTGCTCGAAGTCAACAGTTATTGGCGCCACATTACCTGCAGCTAACATAGTAATTTCATACAGAACTTAAGTGCAGACCAAAACCCAATCGTGAAAACGCACGAGAATCAGCTTTTAAAAGCACTGCAATGCGTGATGTTTGCATTTTTTTTAAACTGTCGTCATATGTCAGTCAGTCATTGACCCCTCTCCCAGCCACAGTCACGTAGTATATTTTTTCCAGGAGTCGCGAGCGAGTTTATTTTGACCCCGTTTATCGTTTTACTGCTACTCCTAATCTAGCTGCGGTAAATGTGGGCGTTAATAACCGTTGGGTTCAAACGCTAGTTTTTATATAAACAGAAATAGTGTTGTACTATTATTATATACATCGCGCGCACTGCTTACCGGAGAAACAATCACAATATTATCACTGTACTCTCACTGTAACGGCGACTAGGCAGATCGGTCGTTTCGCTCCGCTCGGGTGTTATCGGCAGTACATATTGGTTGACTATCTTTTTGTATTTGCGTTTCTCATTATTTCGTATTTTGTCGCTAGATATGTGATATTAGAAGCGGTAAGAGACGCCATTTGACTTGTTACCAGTGGAAATGCGCCATCTAGCGAGCAAAGCTCAATTATAAAATTGACGGGTCCCAGCATTCATTGCGCGTTTGCTTAGCAAATGGCGACTGGATACGTTGGCTTGAACAGATTTCCCCCACAAAGAGTTTTGAGTATGAACACAAACGAAGCATGGACATGTATATACATCGATAAAACTTCTACAATATTTCATGTAATATTTCGAGAAATCCCGCATGTATTCTATTGGTTATGTTTTCTCAAATATAGACAATTGCGAGATAATATAGTTAGATGGACGGCATGATTGGTTGAAAGACAGTCTACGTAAATTTCTTTAAAGGGCGGTGGTCGTCGCGCTGCGCGTGTTCGAATTTCATGTGTATTTACACGCGTTGTATACGTCGCTATGAGTCCCACGTCGAACAAGACGCGGCACGACGACTGCCGCCCTTTAATTTCTTCGATTGCACCCTGGTAACTTTGATGGCAGCAAGTGGTCATGGATACCTAGACGGCAAAATATAGTTGATGTCGATTACGTGATTCGCCGTGCACGATCCAACAAGTACCAACTCCGACAGCCATGATAACACCTTGATCTTAATTTGGGGATTGCTTCACATGATTTTTTTTTTTGCTTTATAAACTTTTACGAATAATCTCAGCCGGACATGATTAGTGTTCTGCTACTGCTCGACATTCTACTGATTTAAAATTATAATGTAAATAGGAAATTCCTTTGGCATATCTTATTGAAAAAAAAAATGTTCTGAGCGTCTCTTCATGTTGCATCCCTTCCAGCTTTCCAGAGTTGTTTGAACTCATTGAATTCGATGACTCCATCACCATCGTCGTCAATCGCTTCCATCATCTTGTCTACGTCTTCGTCTGAGACGTCTCCTGTCTCTTTCAGTGCGGTTCGCAGTTCGTTTATCGTCAGAAAGCCGCTGTGATCGACATCAATCTTTCGGAACACCGTAAAAGCCTTTTCATGCTCCTCCGCCGTCAAATCGTCGGCTGTTGGGGTAAAAAAAAAAAAAAATTTCAATAATTTGTTTCTTATGCGAGGGAGATGGTTTACACTATCACTCAAAAAACGTCTATACAGTGAGTCAGATCATGGATGTTGTGTCGATTAGTAATTATCAATGATGCTCAAGCGATCTTGCATTAATGTGTACACGCGCAGGGCACGTGATTGCGTACACGTGACCTCTCCTAGAATACTAGTAATTTCACGCAGTAACAAGCGCACTTCTTAATCAGTATAATTTCAATTATTAAAGCATGGGAAGACTAGTAAAAAAGTTTGAAAAATATCAAGAGTGTTTATTCCAGGCAACTGTGCAGATCAGCGAAGACAGGTGTTTGAATGTTGTTGATAGGCCGATTCTCATAGAAAAGACATCCAACGAACAAAGCAGACTGTAGATAAACATGGTATTGGAACAAACTTGACCAGCAAACACACTATGAATTCGAGCGAAAGACACAAAACAAGCGCGGTAGTGTTTTCTAGTTCTCCACTCGAGGGCGATGAGAATTGTTCTCCACCGGGAGACGGCAATGATAATAAGCCAACAATGATCTTTCACAGATGCGAAAACATGATCAGTAAAAGGAGACACTATTTGACATGTCCGATGTTTGATTTTACTTGTGTCTTTTGTTCCCTCGTTTCTGTGTGCGTATCGGTGTCCCGTTCAACGTGAAACCGCAGTCCCTCTGTCTATCAGTGGGACTGCGATGAAACAAATCGACGACATGTTATGATTATTTCATTCAAACGGGTGGGTTTATAAGAGTTAGTTTGTTCGTTTAGAAAGGAAATGACGATTCGTGAACTCGTGTTTCATGGCAAGATACGAACGGACCTTATTGCTACACTACACTATGTCGTTTCTGACAATTACATTGAACTTGTGACAACGTTTGAAAGAGCCGAACAACTGACAATTATTGTGGATAACAACAACGTGCGGTTATTGATACAATTGCGTGTTCCAATGAGAACATAAACAAGCGCATATCCCTAGATATTGACAATGTATAACTATTGAAATCGGTCACGTGCCTACAGTATTGCGTTTGATTGAATGCGTATACAATATGAAACAAACACCGCTTCTAATAAATAAATCGCGTAGTACATAACAAAAAAACAATCGCTTGCCCAAGTGACGTCAACAGTGCGATGGGGACATGATGTGACGTAAACGCGGAACACGGCGCTATTTAAAACGGGGAGTCGTCACCTGCGCATGCGTCTTTGCGTTTTTAGTGTGTGTTGTTATCGTCGTTTGGGACTCAATTCCCGCGCGTGCGCAAGTGACCTTCCGCTTTAAAATGATGCTGCCGGGATCGTTGACTGACTTTGTTGTATCTGAAATGGGGGCGTTTAATACAATCTTGAATGCCGATGGGTCATTATAGGTTACACACTATAATTACAATTTGCAATAAGGCACGAGGTCACTTAACCCACTTTAAAAAAATTAAAAAAAAACTTTGACTAGGAATTGAATGCTGATATTTCTAACTACTGTGGAATACTTTATTTTCGCTGGAATTAATTTTCGCTGAAACGGCTTTTTGGGCATTTTGCTTGGAATTTATTTTCACTGATTTTTAATGAGTTTAATGTGAAATATAGGAAAAAAAATATTTTCACTGGAGTTTATTTTCACGGAATCATCCCTTCAGCGAAAATAGCGAAAATAAATTCCAAGCGAAAATAAAGTATTCTACAGTATTTTATTTTGTATGACACCAGAGTAACTAAGACTTATATTTGTGAGAATAATTGCAGTGACTTTAGAGTGGTTCGTCTGCTGGCCAATGTATA